TTCAATTATGGTGAGATCCAATTGTTAGAAGTCTTAGCACCTCTAAAGAGAAAAGAAAAACTTGAAGAAAAACATAATGAAGGACACTTCTATAGTTTAAAAATAACATAGCTTTTTTATTATCAAAAGTCTTCTATCGTGAGTTTTTAAAATGGCAAAAAAAATTCTTACCTAGCTTCTAATATTAATGAAACATTAGAAATTTAAGCTCATATTGGTACCTGCTTTTGTCACCTTCCTTTTTTTCTTTAAATAGACCACAATAATACTTGAGAAATGATGTTTTTTAGACAACCTTAAGTATGGTTTAATTAAGAACAGGTCACTCTGTAAATATAGTTTACCTAGATTTTAGCAAAAGGCCTGATAAAGTTGTAATCCAAGCTATTCTGCTGGAAAAGATGGAGACAGCTAAAATGTAGCATAATTAGATATGTTCAAAACTGATCAAATGATTAAACTTAACGAATAATTCATTAAAGGTCTGTGTCAATTTGCAAAGTCTCTGTTGGAGTGCTCCAGGGATGTTTAATATTTTTATCAATTACTTGGATAATAGCATAGGCAGTATTCTTATTAAATTTTCATCTAACACAAAACTGGGACAGCTAACACTGAATGGCAAGAGCTGGCTGTCAAAAAGATTTGATAGTTTATAATACTGGGTTGAATCAAATAAGATTAAATTCAAGGATGAATGTAAAGTATTACAGTTGGTTTCAAAATAACAGCTTCCCAAGCATAAAATGGAGATGGTAGCACTTTAAAAAAAAAAGTTTAGGAGACTGCAGATTCAATATGAGAAATGTGACATGGAAGCCAAGTAACCTAATGTGACCTTGGGCTGGAATAAGATGACCTACTATGCCCCTAGGTTAGGCACATCTGGAGTACTATGTTCAATTATGGGAATCACATTCTAGGAAGGTCACTGAAAACCACCAGGAATGGTGACAGATCTTAATTCTTTATTTTTTGGGGGGGGGGGGGGACCTAGGCAATGGGATTAACTGATTTGCCCAGGGTCACAAAGCTAGTGTTATGTGTCTGAGGCTGAATTTGAACTCAGGTCCTCCTGAATCCAGGGCTGGTTCTCTTATTTACTGCGCCACCTAGCTGCCCCTGAGGGATCTCAATTCTACACTATATGAAGACAAGCTGCAGCACTGGTAACGTGTAGCTCCGTAAGTTATGTTCAAGGAAAACATTATAGGGCGTTCAAATACTTAAAAGGCTGTCATGTTGAAGAGGCAGCAAGAATTGCTTTGTGTGGCCCCAGAGAGCTGAAGCCGGAGTAATGGGTGGATGTTACTAAAAAGGCCAGTATTTATACTAGCTACAATACTCAACTATAGCCTCTTAATTATTATTCCATGTCAAAATGTCAACTTGTTTTGCAAGTAATCACTTTAACTATAATGGCTCTAAAACAACCACCTAATAAAAATGTTACTTTTGGGGTTTTTTTTGTTTTGTTTCGGCTAGGCGATGGGGTTAAATGACTTACCCAGGGTCACACAGCTAGTAAGTGTTATGTGTCTGAGGCCCACATTTGAACTCGGGTCTTCCTGACTTCAGGGCCAGTGCCCTACCCACTGTGCCACCTAGCTGCCCCCAAAATGTTGCTTTTTACTATGAATTGTAAGGGATCCTGATTGCTTCATGCCTATACTATATAGGCCTTCTTGCATATCAGATTATCTAGTAAACTCTGAATTACAATTATAATGAAGTAATTTTCAAGGACTACGAAACAAGACTTACACCGAGGCAACACACTTTTTTAATAAAGTTTATTTCAACGTAACTATGCTTAGGGAAATACACTCATATGGGTTAATATAATGCAATTTAGTTTAACTTTACACTACAATTTGGACCAAAGACTTATACATGGTTTAGGTTTAAAAAAAAAAAAACAGGATTTGCAATCTGGTTTATTTTTCATCTATTACAAATGTATAAAAGATCCTCAAGTGCTGCTACAGCAGGCAGCAAGAACCATGAGAAATTTACCTTTGGTTTACTTCAGAAAATAATACATTTATTGCACTGTAAAAGCTTCAAACATGGTGCAACAAAACATTATAAAAATGTTTCAGTGCCAGCTTACAAAAATTCAATAACTAGTGTAGTCTTACAAAAACAAAGCATATGTACATGTGAAACAACTGCATTAGCTATCTGGATTCTGTTAATATTGCATGTAGATTGTGGATCTACACAAACCAATATTCAAAAAATTCCTTGAATTTGAGTAACACTATAAGCTCAGTTATTCTGCTGAGGTCAGCAAGGTGACAACACATTGGCTGTCAGTTTTCACCGTTTTGCAATTTGTATAAAAAAGAAAAACTTCAGCCTTTGAGCCTCAGTCCAGAATGGAGAACTACACTAACAAGTTTCAAATTCCTCATTCAAAACACACAGGACAATATGCTATGGCGGTTGCTTCTGTTAAAGGTCACGAACCTCCAAATGTCAATCAATACATCCTTCCCTCCCCCAACATAGTTCAAACTGAGAAGTGGCTCCAGAAACGGACCAAGCATGAAAGACAAGAGCAGATTGATATCTACAAGAGGCATCATCAACAAGCCTATAGAAAAAGAAGCACCTATGACTGGAAACCAAAAAGAAAGAGAAATAAGAAATAAACTGAAAATACTGAAAAAAGAAATGATGTGGTACACATAAGTTTAAAGGGCAAAGGAAACACATATTTTAGAAGACCAACAGCATAAGTTAATTAGGTTCACACACTATAGTATTTCGGTAGTTTGTTACCAATAATACAGAAGCATCAACTTACACATATGAATAGAATGTTACTTCCTGTTACTTCCTCCTAATATATTGCCAAAAATTCTAGCTTCAGTTCTATCCAAGTAAAAAACTGAAAGATGAGACATTTTCATGCAAATACTAAATATTCCAAATAAAATTTCTATTTATTGGAAATTTATATTTGGAATTATTGATTTACTTTAAATCAATAAGCAAAAATACACAGCAATAAAGGACAGTACCTAATATAGGCCTGACTGTCACAAAGTCCTGGCTTGCTGGGAGAAAGGCCTTAACTTCCACCTACTACCCAGTAAAACAAAAAGTTATCTTGCAGCAACATAGGTCTTGATCAATTTGATGATCAAGTTGTTAATTTGTTACATTTAACTTTTAAGTTTTTTAGACTAGTCTTAAAACTGGATTAGAATATTACTAAAGCTCTTCAAAATCTGTAAGAGATGGCAAATTTTCTTGCTTAAGAGATTTGAAGCGACCTAATAAAACCTCTTTCCAGAACTGAGGTTTCTGTAAGTCTCTGCTAAACATTTACCAAAAGATGACATTTTTTATTTTCATATACCATAAAAGAAAACCCAATAAAATGTACCCATGAATATTAAAAGTAGGTGTTTTTTAAAGGAAGACATAACTAGTTTCATTATAAAAAAAACTTAAACATAAATATAGTTGCAACTTGATCTTATGTTGACAATGATTGTCAGAGCCTAGTATTCAACACCATTTAATCATACTCATTCATGCACACTGAACACATGCTACATCACACAACTTACTCCTGCCATGAGATTTTTCTGCTTCCTTAAATCTTTGGCCTCCCAATACCAATCCTTTAACCTAAAACTCATCTTCAGACCACTGCCAAAAGAAGCACTCCCCCTGTCCCATGTCCATATCCCACCCTTCCCTCCCTCCCCACGTTCCCACCCCTTACCTCAGTTTCCCCATTCATTCAAGTTGTACTGCTGCACATTTAGGAACACGGCTGAAATATGATCAGAACTCATTTTCTATTATCAGGTCCCATGTTTAAAGATGAGAACCTAAACGTTAAAGTGACTTTACAGAAATGCAAGATTAGGATTTCTCAGGTTTTTTTCCCCCCACTGTGCTCAAATCCAATATACTTGCTAGGAAAATTTTTCAGATTAAAAAAAAAAAAGAAAGAAAAAACCTTTAAGTCGGATTTTCATTCGGAGTCTTTAGGAGTTGGCCAAAGAACCTATGAACAAAGGACCACTAAGAAAAAGACACCGTCCTGAAAAGAGATTTCCCTTCTAGTGCCAACTGCCCATTTTGAATCTGAGAGGTTAGCTTTTGTTTGTTTTGTTTTGTTTCCAAATAGTCTCAGGCCACTGCAAGGGCAAGCCGAGGCGCACACAGTGCTGGAGCTAGCAAAATGTGTCCTGAGAATATGTTGGGTTTTTTTAAATCTGAATGGTACCAAAGATAAAGTTAACTGTACTGGATGCCCTGTTCACTCTCTTCATAAGGAGCTGGGGTTGATCTACAAACATCTGTAAATGCCTTTTCTTACCCCAGCTGAAACCTTGGAGGACTCCAAGGCTCTGCATAACTTGAATGAAAAGGGAAGAAGAGGCAATTCCCCTCCCTTCTTCTCCAATCCCAGGTTTGCTACTTACCAGCATATTACGTTTATTTATTGGATTGGTGGCTAGTACATGAAAGGTTCCATTTATACTATACAGTTTGGGAAGCAGCCGTACCAAAACGGACTCGGGGGGAAAAAAAAACCCTATTGATGTTTGCTATGTGAGATTTTACTCACAAATTGATCGTACTAGATACATTACATGGCCAAACTGCATAATGATTGTGAAATCAAAACTAAGTAGCGCCAATTTACTATAGCCACTTAAAAATAAATTAACATGAAATACAGATTCTAATATGCATCAGATGTGAAAATCAAGATATAAAGGATTGAATCTGCATTTGCTTCATCTGCTCCCAAACTACACATTAGCACATATACATACAGATAATTCTTAATTTTAGCAAACTCAAATGACTCCCCATGAAAAAAGACAACAAACTGCAGCAAAGGAAATGAACAGAAAAATACCTGTTCTGTGGTAAGCAACAAACCTGAAAGTTTTTTTTTAAATGAACCAAAATAAACATGCATATATATATACACACACAAATATATATACACACATACACACACATATATAAAGTGTTCCTGTACAGCAAAAAAAATGCTATTTCTAAACGATTACACTGCATAGGTAAAAAAAGGGAAAAAAAAATCAAAAACACAATGTGCAACATTTTAAGCCATTAAAGCACCACCAAAAATAAAAAATAACACTCCCCTTTACTTCCCACAATTAAAAACCATTGTTATAATACTTATGAAGATTGACATATACAAATCAGAAATTTTAATCAAAAATCAGAAAAGACTAATAAAAGGTGGACGAAATTCACTGTCCATTATAGGGAGAAACAAAAAACATTTTAAAAAGTATGACTGTTCATTTCTTTAACCACACTGTGGTTTTGTTTTTTTTTGTTAAAAGTGCTAATTTTCTGAAAGAGACATCAGATTCCTTAAAGAAAACCACTGAGTAATTTGCTACCAAATGCTGATTTATACCTAACTAAACAAGGAACCTTAAACGTATTTTAGACAAAACTAGAGACTAGAAATGGGAAAAACACCGACTACCACTAACTGTATGATCAACAGAACATCTTGGCTTTGAAAATCTCATTTTAAAAATAATTTATGCAAAGGCTAATAGTTTTCACTAGTGCTAGTTTAGTAGAAAAGAGAAATCCAATTCCTTGGATTCACTAGTGTATGCAAGAGATTAACAAACTATTATACAAGGGTGGTGAAGAAAAGGTATCTACCTGAAATCATCAGATCCTACTCCAAACTTAAACAAAAGGGAATTGTCTACTGTAATAATTATTCATAAAATGTAACAGATCTCATAAAAGAATTGTAGGCTTGTTCATATAGTTGAGTTATTCTAACTCCTTAGTTGCTTCCTCAAGGTAGTAGACATTCACTAAATGTCGATTAAGGTGTTTGCTATACTCTCCTTCCTTTCTGAAAGATCTATCACAGAAAATGCAAACAAAGTTTGCCGCTTCACCTGCTGCCGCCACTTCTTCCTGGGAAGCTTTTCCACTCGTTTCTTCCTGTACAGATCGAGCACCATTCAACCCAGAGTCATCACTGCCCTCTGACATGTTGTCACTTAGGTCGCTTCCATCGTGGCTGTGGATGCCCTCATCCTCATCAATTTCCTGAGACTCACTGGCAGCAGTAGGAGCTGATGAGGGCACTGGCACCGTCTGGGAAGCTGGCTCACACTGCTCTGCTGGTGGTGAAGGAGCAGGCAACTCAGGTTCTGGTAACAGTGGGGATTCTGGCAGGGGCAGCTCTGGCAGCGAAGGGGGCTCTTCAGCTCTCAAGTCTTTATCAGCCAGATGCTCCGCTGGGCTTGGACTTGGTTCAGTTTCCATTTCACACACTATGTCAGTCTGATGCTCTTTATCAGGAAGATCTTCCTCTGGCTCACAAGATGATGGACTAAGTGACTCCTGGGCACCACCAGACTCTGGCTCTTCATCCACAGCTTTCTGAAGAGCAGCTTCTTTGTCTTCTTCCTTCTGTTCAAGGAGCATTTCTTGGTCTTCCATTTCTGCATTCTCTACATTTTCAACTGGTGATGTAGGTGCAGGCACAGGCACAGGCACAGGCGCTGGTGCTGGTGCTGGTGATGGCTCTGGCGCAGGCCCTGGTGTTGAATGGCAGTCCTGAGTGTCTGACCTCTCTTCAGTTATTGGGCTATGAACAGCTACTAAGGCATCTTCCACAAGGACTTTCTCTTTCTGCGGTTCTTCCCTAGGGCTGTCAGACTTTTCCTTTGGATCCTCTTGAGAAGGAGGAGGAGGAAGAGAAACAGGAGGAGGAGGAAGAGAAACAGGAGGAGAAGGAGAAGGAGGCTTTTCAGGGATCAGCTCATTCTGAATTGGCTTTACCTGAATGGACTTGGGCTTTTTACCATGTTTACCTTTCAAAGTTTTCTTTTTTTTGTTTTTCTTCAGGCAAGCTTTTTGTCTTTTATGCTCTTCCACTCTGACTTCATCTTTTCCAGCTTCCTGGCTCTTTCTAGATCTGCTTTCGACTTTCTTTTTCTTTTTCACCACAGGTTCTGTATCATTCACTGGGTTACTATTTAAAGAAGCTGCTTCACTTTCCATCTTTCTTTTAACTTTCTTGTTTTTACACGATTTTTCTGAACCTTTCCCTGCTTTGACATCTACCACCTTTGACTCTGTTGCCAACTTACGATTTCGGGTGGTCACTTGGCCTAAAGAAACTACAGTGCATGGCTTTTTCTCTTTTGAGGCATTTTCTTTTTCTTTTTTCTCCACTTTTACATTCTTTTCATTCATCTTTTCCACCACATCTCCCTTTGTTTTTGTTTGTTCTTTTTCAGTTTTTTCACTGGCCACACTATCAGAACCACAACTGTCTGCCTCACTCTTTTTGGATTTTTTTAGTTTCACTTTGGAAACATCCATTGCAATATCACAACAGTCGGAATGCCTGGACTTGATATGATACTGCAGATTACACTTCTTGGAAGCAGCATAATCACATACAGGACAAAGGAACTGTCGTGGGTTCACATGGAGCTCTACGTGCTTTTTGAAGTTACTACGATCAGCTGTTTTGTAGTCACAGTGTGGGCAGGTCAGCGGCTTCGGCCCATTGTGAACCTGCCTAGCGTGTCGGGTTACTTCATGCTGATTAGAGGCCACATAACTGCACTGATCACATTTAAATGGTTTCTCACCTGTAGATAAGATAAGAAAAATGGGAAGAATATAAATTTTAAGTAAAATGAATTCAAAACTAATTTGAACAAATGTAGAGGGATGGATGCGAACAGTGTACCCAAGTTTAAGCAAATATGCACAAAGTAAAAAATTGACCCATGCATCTTTTAGTTGCCATATTTACTAGTATGGTTTCTCTTCTTCCCCGCCAATATTTTGACTGTAAAAGGAGGAACTATTATCCATTTATGCTACCATTCTTAGCAACTTTAATTTGAAAATCTTAATCAAACTTTAAAATGAGCCCTCCTAAGAGTTGCATAGCAATGTATTTAGCAGGAGGTCTTTTTCTGGTACCCCTAGCTTTGACTGCTTTATCCTCTGAAACTACTTCCCATCCATTCTATATCTATCTTGTATGTACCTAGTTATTTATGCTCATGTTTGTCTCCTCCATTAGCATGTGAGTTCCTTGAGGTTAGAAACTATTTTTACCTTTCCTGTATCCCTACCAATGAGCATAAAACCACCAGGACTTGGAGGGTGATGGATAGGGGGGAAAAGAGAAGGAAGGAAAGGGTTAAGTAGCTACTCACTCTCTCCATTTCCCAGCCAATGGCAAACAACCTCTAAGTTCCTTTAAGTTAATCCACTGTCTATATTGGCACAAACCCTGTTATTATTCATCACAGTGAGAGTTCAACAACCTGTTCACCTCTCTCAGAATCAGAAATTTGTCATAAAAAAGGACCTTAGAAAGTAATTTCAGCTCTTTCATTTTAAAGAAGGAGAAATTGGGGGGGCTCTGATTTAAGTCATTTATCTAAAATTCTCAACCATATCCCCACCCAACACTTAAAAAGTAGATGATACAACCTCTTATTTCCCTGAAATTAAGGCCATCCCACAGACAATTCCCTCAAATATCTCTTCTCATGCCTCAAAAGTTCTCCGCATCACCTGTTTTCATTTCCTCCCTTCTACTTACAAGAGTCACTAAGTTTAATCTCTCTCTGTTTTCAAACCCATTCCCAGGACATTTTCTTGTTTGTCTCTCACTACTCTAATTACTCCTTTTCTGTTTTTTCCTTCTCTTCTCTCTCTACACTCTCTACCTCAGTAATCTTATTCATTTCAATGGCTTCAACCCTTCCACAAAGAGGCTCTGGCACAAGCTCTCATTACTGCATACCTGGTCTATTGCAACAGCATTCTAATAGTTTTTACCTCCAGTTTCTCCCTGTTTCAATTAATTCTTCAAACCAAAGCCATTCTAATCTTCATAATCTTCTAGTCAAACCACTCCTGTTCCGTCATCAACAATGGCTCCCTAATATCTATTAAGCAAGTCACATTTCTCTGCCTGGTGTTCAACAATCCTTTTAAAATGCTGAACTATTGTACCTCTCTATCCTAAGCTCACATGCCTAGAAATATTCTCTTCCCTATCAAGCCTGCTAGGGGACTAAGGTGGTACAGTGGATAGAATGGCAGGCTTAGAGTCAGAAAGACTCATCTTCCTGAGTTTAAATCTTACCTGAGACACTTATTAGCTATGTGACCCTGGGCAAGTTACTTAACCCTGTTTGCCCCAGTTTCTTCATCTGTAAAATGAGCTGGAGAAGGAAATAACAAACCACTCCAACATCCTTACCAGAAAACCCTAAATGGGTTCATGAAGAGTTCAAAATGACTGAAAAACTTCTGAACAACATCAAACCTACTAAACTTTTACCCATCCTTTAAACTCCAACTCAAATAGCATCTTTCTGAAACCTTTCTTAAATATTTTATCCCACTCTCAAATATTATCATATCCTTTTACTCTTTGAACCTTGCAAAACATTTTGCTTTCGATTTCATAATGAACTCAATGTGCAATACTGTATATTTTAACTATGTTTTATTCCCCTGCTAGATAATCCCCAAAGGAGGCAAGATGGTAGAGAAGAGCACTGGTTCTGGAGTCACAAGTCCTGGGTTCAAATCCTTCCTCCGATGTTCATTACCTATGTGACTTCAGTTTCACTCTTTGTAAGACAGGTGATTTAAATTAGTTGGTGACAATCTCTAAAGTTCCATAAAGCTCTAAATCTATGAAGCTATGTCAGGGATTATGTCAAAATTTTCTAATCTCTCTCAACACTGTATTCACCACATACAAGGGGTATATTTATTCACTATTTATTGAAGTGAACCAAATCCTACTTAAAAGGATTCTTTTCTGGTAAGTTCATCGAAATTTTAGAAGATGGGAGGGTACTTTATCTTATTTTTTTTTGGAAGGGTACTTTAAAAGTAAGGTAGTATTTTCAGAGGAAAACACAAGTAAATATGGCACGTAAAAGAACAAGCTAGGAAAAAAGTACAATCACAAATACATTGAAAAACAGTACCAGAAAAAAATTAAAAGGAGCAATAGAGTAACACACATTCTATCAGAGTACATACCCATCTAGATCACTCTATAGTAATATTACCAAATGGTATCCATACCCAACTGGTCCTTTGGAATGCATTGCAGAAAAATGAAAATTAACAATTGATCAAACAGAATATTCATATAGTCTGAAAGAAATCAACGTTGTTCAAAACTCTAAAAAGATTTAAAATCTATAATTAAAACTAAAATGGAAGCTTCAAAACTAAGACATTAAACTTGCTCACATTAAGACAAAATTCCATAATGAGTAATGGTAAAATAATTATCAAAATACTCAGACTCTAGCAAATTTAAGTCAAGTAATAAAAATGAATAAATAAAGCACATACATACATAATGTTAAATACTTATTTAGAATATTCCCAAAACACGTTATATGGTTCAATTCTAAGGAATCTGAACATATCTTATATAGTCAATGAAGAGGACTGACATAATAGTTTCAGATCTTGAAAGAGATGAATGTAGAAATAATATCCAATATTAGTAACTAATAATACCCTTTCAAAAGCCAATAAACTCCGAGTAAGCATATTCTGTCATAATCAATAAAGGATGCCTATTGAAAATACACAGAAATGCTTTTAAATACTTTCTCAGGTCATTCCCAAAGGGTCATTATCTACACTTAATCTTAATATGAAAAGTATGAATACGCAAAATACCGCTATGAACATGAAAGAATTTGAGAAAAAATACAGTTAAAAAAATACAACTTTTTGGGTAAGCATTAGTTAAAATATTTTCAAAATAATCAGATAGGACATAGTAACCATTAATTCATTGAGGTCAAGATCTAGGCCTATCTAAATCCTAGCTCAACCACTGATTTTATTCCACTGATTATAATTTTATTCAAAAGTTATATGAATATCACACTACACAAAATTGCTTTAAAACTATATTTAAATAAATGAAATTCAAACCATAAAATGTCATAAGTTTTATGTCATTCCATCTAAGTTTCTATAGGGATTTGTTGTTTGTTACTTCCCATTCCTTTTCCTAAAGATCTTTCCATATTTCTTTATCACCCTCATATTTATTCCATATTTCTTTATCACTCTCATATTTATTAATACTTACAGCATTATGTGTTCATCTAGTTCCCCCTTGACTGGGCAATAAGGTTTCTTTCCAGGTTTTTTGTAATTACAAAAAATCCTGTGAAAATCTTTGGGCAGCTAGATGGCACAGTGGGATAAAGCACCAGTTTTGGACTCAGGAAGACTCATATGTGACCCTGGTCAAGTCACTCAACCCTATTTGACTCAGTTTCCTCATCTGTAAAATGAGCTGGAGAAGGAAATGGCAAACTAGTCTGGTATCTCTGCCAAGAAAACCCCAAATAAGGTTATGAAGACATAGCTGAACAAATGAAAGTCTTTTTTTTTTTTAAAGGCAATTGTGGTTAAGTGGCTTGCCCAGGGTCACACTGCTAGTAAGTGTCAAGTGTTTGGTCTGAGGCTGGATTTGAACTCAGGTCCTCCTGACTTCAGGGCTGGTGCTCTATCCACTGTGCCACCTAGCTGCCCCTCAAATGAAAAATCTTTAAACAGATATCTTTGTTGTTGTTGTTGTTGTTATTTCTACTAACACTTTCAGGAAACATTCTCAACAATTGAATTGTTGAATCAGGAAATATATCTATCTTTGTAACTTTTACTGCATATATAAGTATATTAAAGTAAGTCTACAATTCTACTAGCAATGGTAGTAATCTATTTCTCTATATCCCCACAAGAAATGGGTTTTGCAACTTTTAAATTTATTCTGCCAATTTGACAGGTGTGACAACATGATTATATCTTCTTCCCAAGGATTACTGACAAATTTTTGTTTCTTCTTTTGATCACTGTTCATCTTTTCACCTCCCCTAAATGAAGTCATAGTTAAGGCAGGAAAATTTCCAAGAGAAAAAGGTAGAGTCCAGAAACTACAGATAAGTTTGACAGCTGGCAAAACTCAAAAATGGATTATCAAATTATTTGGAAACTTTTTAATGATTAACTCAAAATGGTTTCACTCAGAGAAAATTTCATAGCAAAGTAACCTCATTTGTTTTTTAAAACAAGGGTACTAGGATAACCTAGGAGGGTAACTTAAAGTCTTACCTCTGATGACTCATCACTAGGTATTCTTGAAGACTATATTTACAAAAAAAGACAATATCTCTGTTATGTGAGGTCTAGTTGAGCTAGGTACAGAAAGATTGATCACTATGTTAGAAGCCAATGAATTTCTTTATTGAAGCGACTCGTAAAACCTATCTATTTCTTCTTAGAGAGGTTCTAACTCTAGTCAGTGGCAGGAGTAACCATCTGGATGAAATAAATTATGGAACCTTGAAGGACTGTGAAATGCTTAGCCAGCAGAAATGATGAGACTGTTTTAGACAAAGTAGGAAAATGTGGGCAAGATTATACAGTTACAAAGATGCAGAACTGACTGATTACCCAAAGGGTTACTGACAGGAACGATGTCAAACTAGAGGGACTTCTAGATTTCTGTTCAACAATTTTCTTGGTGAAGATATGCCTTACCAGATTTTAATAGACACAAAGTTATTCAACA